ATCTTTCGCCTCTCTTTTAAGATTACAGATGAATGTTTTCTAAATAACCATTCATGAAAAGTCCATTCAACCATATATTGAAATCTATTGAAGATTCCCTGTACACTTGAATAGGGATTTTAAGATGAAGCTCTGTCCATTTATTTTAATAGCTCAAATTGGCCCCTTTTTGCTGTAAAACACATTCTAATCTTTATATGTATAGCAGGTGAATACTTTTTTTTCGCATGCCATCTTGTTAAACAACTCTTAGTTTCATCTGTGACGTTTTTTTATATCCTATATCAAAGTTCCGGTACATCTTTAAAAGGAAATTGCATTGAGGTTTCAAAGGTACAACTAACATTAAATATGTATCAAAAAGTCTAAAACCACAAAGTGTTATGATCTATAGATAATCATCCTTTACATTTCGCTTGACAACAGTCTGCTAATTATAAACAATGACATTTCATTTTTTTCCGTCATGTATGTTATGAGGATAAGGATTTGATTACAATAAAACAAGCTAGACTGAAACCTTTTTTTAATTTGGACAATGTTAACTTCCGTATAAACAGGAAGTTAAATTAAAACCCCTTATATCACTGTTCTGCACCACCGGAAGTTAAATTAAGACCCCTTATATCACTGTTATGCACCACAGTCATATTAACCTGTTGTTATATTGAACTGTCTAGTGCAAAATGTGTTTCCTACAAGATGTCTTCTTTTCCAACTTATTCTATAAATTCAAATGCAAACCTTCTTCAAGTTTGATTTTATTGAACATTATTTAAGTGACTGTTTTGGTTTAAACTGTAAGATTACCTAATCGACTTTATTTCTTAATTTATTTTAATCATATATATTCATTCAAAATATGCACCATATATAAATGATCGATACTTTAAATGGATTTTTTGGCGAAATAATTGGTCTTATCGCACACCCTATGCTATTGTGGGTTTGGCCTTATATTCAAGACATCAATCAAATTATTTTTTTAGAGTGCCTTGATAACATAAGACAAGCACTGTGGGAGAAAAATAAAAACATTGTGTACTTTTGTCTTTTTTAATATTTCATTTTTATCGACAGACTTGGCATTACTGCAAACTCCAATCGTTTTGATGTCTGAAGTAACAATTTTAACAATTAAACCTGTGTTATTATCACCATTATATCTCACCATTAAAATCGCTGATGAGTTTTGACCTTTTTAATTTGGTCTCCAATGTCGCATAATAATATTTATTGGACCTTTGTTCATTGATAGCATTTATCTCTGTTTCTTTGACTTTTATAAATGTCTTTTCTCTCTTTTATTGTCGGGGGAAAAAGTCAATCAGCAGTGTTAGACTTTGCAATCTGATAGTACTTTGACCAATGTCGTTTGGTTACTATGATTGAATCTGAAAGTCTTCACCATAAGATACAAAAGCAATGACAGCATATCTCACAATCCAAACCTGATACTATAGAAAACAGATTACTAACATGACATTTGAAAAATGTCATCGACAATAATTGTTTATGACAAAAAATAACGAGGAAGACTTTAGTTAAATAAAATAACCCGGAAATGAAATGTACTACTTTTCATTGAAAGCATAATAAACCATGAAAAAATCCGTACAAACTGAAAGCAATGGATAATTTCTATATTTTTAAAAAAGTTATTCTTTACAGGAACATCGATTTTTTTTTATTATTGCTTAGAATGTTATTTATTTTACAGACAAGCGTAGAGACAGTGAATAAGTTTACAAGGACATATTGTGCATTTCATTTAATTTGAACAAACCAAAGCTGTCTTTCTTTTTTCCTCTAAAAAATATGGAATTGTTCAGAAGATATCTTAAATCTAATTCAAATAAAACATTCTGGCAATCAATAAAAACTCAGAATATGCAAAACGATAAAAACAAAACACTATCGAAAGTAAAATTTGGACAAAACAATAACCACTCATCAAACGGTGGCATTGTATACTTCTAAAAGCAAACAATTATTAGTAGCAATCTTACAATGAAGACATGAGACCAAAAGCGAAAAAGACGAAAGACTCATTTTAAAAAAAACGTGCACAGAAAACATTGAGATATAAAAATTGAGGAGGGGATAAGCTCGTTATCTAGAAGGGTAAACACTTCTCTTTTTCTGTTTGGGTTGGTCACCCAATTTTGTCAATAAAACGGACTTATACACAACTTTCATACAAGTAGGAGGTTTAACTCACTGTTTTCTTCGGAAAATGCCTGTACCAATTTAGGAATATGGCAGTTGTTTTTCACTTGTTACGTTGATTGATAGCGTTTTATTTTGTCAGTTTGTATGGACTTCCCCTTTTTGAATTTGTCTTGGAGTTCGGTATTTTAGTTATACTTTTTTTCATGGTGATAATTAGTAGACAAAAAACATAGAAGCTATGCGATAGAGTGACTGAGAAAAATGAAACACTGTTGATTATGTATGAAACAGATATTCCGTTTTTGCTATAAAAAAAAACCTAATGGTAACTACAAACGTAGACACTTCAAGTCTCTAATATGGAACATGTCTTCGTTGTTTGCATTTTCAAATAGTCGAAATAGTAACTCATTACTATATCCACATTGAATTTGCACATGAAATACTAGAATACATGCGTAGAATACAAAAGTCGTAAAGTCAATGACAAATCAGAGGTGTTACAATAACTAATTGAAACAAATGAGGGGAGAGATGAAAGTATAGGTAAGTTAAGATTTGGAAATAGATCAAATGGAATAGACAGTATGTGATCAGGTCATGACAGAGACAAACAACCCGTCTTCGCTCAAAATGATCACATAAAGACTAAGAAAGCAACATATAAACGGTTATACACGAAAATCAAATCACAACTCAAACTAGAAAACCAGTAAGTTTCACAATCAACTCCAAATTTAGTTGTCAAATGTGCGTCAACAAGTTGAGTATTTTATGACAGAGGACTACACATACCTGCAATTCAACCATGCAAACGAAACATTCCTGAAACAAGTGAACAAAATAGAACTACTTCACTGTAAGACCAAAAAGGTTTAGAAGCATCAACCAAAACCAACAATAAAGACTGATTTAATATTCAAAACGAGATATGCCAGTCAGGGTTCATTCTTATCCAGTAAAATATATCCAGAAGTCCGATAAGTGTGGAAATATGACACTAGTACAAGTTCATGATTACAGGGAGCGTTTCTTCTTTAAAACTAGCTAAAAATAGAAATTCGACCAAGGACAAAAAATGACTGCAAAACCCTAAACCAAACAATGGAATGCACATAAAAGTGTTTTTGACATATCAAGTTATGTTGGTCTTACATATAAAACTAAATATTAGGAATTCAATCCAATATGAATAAACTATGCGAACTCGATCCTCAGTCGATAATCATATCTTCTTAAAATGCTGTTGTCCAAAGTACAACTTTCGTGTGTTAAGTTTATTTACCTATAGTATGGGTCTTAAATTTATCATCTAATCCTCCCTCATTCGTCTAATAAAACCAACAGTACTTTGTAAATGTGATGAAGCAGATCTCAGTGTGTAATATTCATAAAAATGTGCAACAACTACAAAGCTTTAAAAAAGAATGCAAAATCTACCTGTAAAGATTGAAGTTAGTGAACAAACTCCAAATATATCAAATACTTTCGGAATTCATTAGTATACGCTTTAGGGAGCTACCATTTGATTTTTATGGGGGGCTAGGATGAAAAATTTTGTCCTGCATTTTTATTTTTAGTTGTAATCTCTGTCCTGCCTTTTTATTTTTCACTATAATCGGTTCTGCCTTTTTTTTTTATTAGTTTATCATGACTTTTTTTACATAAATTGTCATCCTGCCTTTTTTTTTGCCAAGTTGCTCATCCTGCCTTTTTTTCATATTTCATCCTAGCCCCCCCCCCCCCGCCATAAAAATCAAATGGTAGCTCCCTTAAAGATTATGTATATATCATGACTTGGAACAGGCATTTTCCGAAGAAAAACCACCCACTTGTATGACAATTGTTTATAGTTCCATTATATTGACCAAATTGGGTGAGCAACCCTAACAGACATAATAGGTGACAATAATTGGGATCCAGCAGCCAAAACTGTGTAAACATACATCACCGACATACAACACAACTGACTAAAAAATTAAAACAAACATACAAAAAAATCTGAGAAAGAAGCCAACAAAAAAGAATATCCAAGTCCTACTCCAGTACGATAAAGAAAAGTTACTTGAAGAATGACATTAGTTCAGGTTTTTATGAAATTAAGACTATCCATATCAATGAATGGGGGAAGACAGACAAAAAGACATTTAAATTATTGATGAATGCAAATCACAACTCATGCAATAATGTGAGCAGTTTCAAAAACTAAAGATACAAAAATAACAATCGCAAATTTTACAAGTGATTGTATGAAGAGATTTCGATAAGTTGAGATAATTTGAACTTCTTTCACGTTTCCTAACCCGACCTTAAATAGAATCAGGATAACATGGTATCAAAATGAACACTTTTCTGCAAACATTACATTTTCAAATACGAGATACTACAGCTCAGTTAAACTCGTCATTACAAAAAAATGTAGCATATTCAATTCCTACTCCATTTTGATAAAGAACAGTTAGCTGAAGTAAGACATTAGTTCAGGGTTTCATATAGTTAGACTATCAAAAACGATCAATGGCCGAAGACAGAAAAACACATTTGAATTATTGATATATACAAAGAAAATGAAAGGCGTAACCAATGCAATAATGTAAACAGTTTATAAAATTAAAGATACAAAGTTACCATCCGCCATTTTTGCTATTGATGGCACTACGAAAGTTCAATAAGTTGTGAAACGAAAGTGTGTTTTTTTTTTCTTCATTTTTTCTTATCCCAACTTTCAATCAAATCATGGTGGTAAATACTTATCTGCAAACATTACATTTTGACACGAGATACTACAGCTCAATTAAGCAAATATAACCATTATGCTTAATACTCACCTTATATTTAGAACAGTCTGTGCATGCTATTTCCATTGCAAGTTTACTTTCTCTGCAAATGCTATTTATCATGACTATAAAAACAATCTGTATGCGTTAATTCAAAGATTGTTTATGAAAAATATGAACTCAAGACTTCACAATAGATGTGGGTAATATTACAACTAGTTTTCTATTTTGATCAGCATGCTCCTTTCTGTTTTACAGACTGTTACGACAATTATTTCATTTTGACGAAAAAAAGTTCTTTTATCGCAAAAGACTTGTCTGATACCTATACGAATAAATGTCTCATAAGATACATTCGTAGATGTGTTAAAAATTAAAAACATTTTACTCCTGAAATTACTCTTAATGATGAAAAAGATGATCGCATTCGTAATGCACAAATTATAATGATATGCGTAAATAATTGCGTGGTAATAAGCAATATTCAGTTACAGTTTCAATATGAACAAAAATGGGTGTGATAAATCGTTTTTGAAACTGGTACCCTAACAAACTCATACTCACTGATGTACAAATTCTCCTGGTCTACTGTATTCGTTTAATCTGTCCGAAACCACTTTCCATAACTTTTAGCGGTAAACCACGATGAGAAAGGATATTTAACCGTTCAAAGAGAACTTGGTTGCCAAAAACATTGAACAATGTTCTACAATTTGGTCTAAACGGAAGTATAATTAATAAAATTCCTAGGCTAGTTATGTGAATGTTTGAAAATCAGTTAATCGCTGTTTCCGGTCTGTGAGTGGGGCTACTGAAGGTCCATATTAGACACAACACCACTAACTTTTAAGTAATAAATGTTTCTTTCGTGAGAAAAAAATTATACTGTTTTGAATGAAAACATAAGGAAATGTCCTTTTTCAAAATCATTCTGCAATTAAAGTTTGACAACAACGGTGAGTCACATCACTTGCATGAAAACAACGAACCTTCAATCAGAATTATTGTTCCCAAAGACAATTTCAGTCGTTTGAAAGTTATCAGAAACTGATCACATCGCAATAACAATACAACTGAAATTAATATTCAAATTTAGGTCATATTCAGTATAAAACATAAAGCGCTTTGTTATTGAAAACAAAAATGATATCTCGATAAGAAATGAAAAGGCCAAAGTAGATTTCAACATATTTCTACAGAGGACATCCAATAAATATTGGTTACATCCGCTAAAACAATTCGTTGAAGCATGCTTGAAACATTTATACCAAGGAATCGAATAAAAGAACTCCAATGGTATTTAACATTAAAAAAACAGCATATTGCAAACCCCTAACGAACCCCTTGAAATGTACACACAATACGAAACAAAAGACAGCTAATAATCGATAGGTGAGCCGGTCAAAAATAAAGCTGAAATATTACAGATTGTCACGAAAATTGCTATGCATCTTTTGTACAGGGAAAATAGGTTTTTGTTATGATCTTGAACAAAAGAAGTCGGTTTAAACTTCAATTAGCAGATGGTAAACACACAACGTCAGCTATTCTAATATGAATTATTTTAAATCATTTTCTAATTATCGCTAATTGTTACTTTTTAGTCACGTGATGTTGATTTAAAAAGACAGTTTCTCAATACCACTTTAAAGTTCAAGTGTTGCCCTTGGTATAGTTCGAATACTACAATATTATCAAGATTATAGAACAGTGGGTACATTTAGTACAACATAAAAACCAATTGTAAATATACTCAACGTTGGCACATACTAAATACGGAATCAGAACGCGTTTGGATTAATAAGAAATATTTAACTGACAATACAACTGCATGCATAATAATTCGGACTACAAGTGATTACAAAACCAACAGTATCAAACTAAAACAGATGAAAATGATGATGCTAGTTTTATTTCGCTGCTTCTTTTTGTGCTGGGATATTACTTTGTTAAAAACTTTCCGTCCTAGAATAAATATATTTTGGAACCTTAGTTCGTGTACAGAAATGATCATCAAAGTGCTAGATGGTTGAGAAGTAAAAACGATTTTTATGTTAATCAAAGCAGATTTTGAGTACGAATTAGGCATACAGCACCTTTAAACACAATAGAACCAGTAACAACATCTATAGATGTCACATGATCACATTGAAGTCGTGAACAAGAACATGCATATACCATTTGACCTTTGTCAATGTTGCCAGATTCGAGACGACAGCTTTTGAACAACCACAAATCTACCATCCAAACCAAATTCTTAAATAAACACAAAACTATAAACAAAGACAACCACTCACGAGAATTCCGATCCGATCCATAAAATGGTAGGATTAAAACTTTAACCACTAGTTTCAAAAGCACGAAACACCACCCCGTTTATCTCGATCAGTTGAATAGCAAACAGTGAATAAAAGAACGCAATCAAATAAAAAGAAAAAATGTATTAACGAGTCAACAACATTAAAGTATACCGTACCAAAGAATTAGCATAGCTTCTGTTCAAATTACTTATCTGTTGAAATAGAGGCGGAATAATACCAAGCGGACATTCAAACTCATAAGTAGAAAGGAAATTGATAACGCCATGGCGAAAAACGGAAAGTGACGAAAAGACAAACAGACACACAAAACACTATATAGAAAACATGAACCACCCTTCCCCCCAAAAAAAAAATCAAAACAAAAACAACCGGGAATTAGCGGAAAGGTAAACAGATCCTTCTCCACGTGTGTCACTCGTCATGTTGGATATGGTAAACAAATTCGGTGATAATTCTAATTCGGTGATTTCATTATATAGGAGAAAGGGACACAATTCTATAGTTACGAACATATCCGTAGTTACCTGTTACTTACGCAACTTTCCAAAAGCTTTCAACTAACTCGTGATTGCGTTCGTAAAACATTTGAATGGATGACTTCAATTTTACCACTCGGTTCAATTGCTGTTTTGTAAGCATCAACAATCTATCAACGAAATTATGATAGAAAACACAAACTCTAAAATATTGTATTAAGTGGTAGATATATACTCAATATACAGACGCTACTGGGATGTTGCTACATGGAAATGGAAAGTTCACAATATAAGAATATAATTTGTTAGTATAGAAATCAAGCATGCCTTCTTACACCTTAATATCGACAGTTATACTTCCAGGTTGATTCAATGTAATAAATAGTACAAAAATAAAAGATGATATTGTGCAATCGCCATAGTTCTCACTTATATATCTCTTATTTGTCAAGCTGACCCATTTCTCGGAATAGACTCATTCGTTCACAAAGATAGGTGCTGTTGTTATCTGTTACACTATGTTATTGTGAAAGTAGGCATTTTAAAGGTTACCTTTCACTGTTAATCATGCTACACATTCTTCAAATATACAGTACTATGAATAAAAGGAGATCGTTAGTATATGTCAAAGAGACAGCAACCGAACGGTAAAGAAGCATATATATTAACATAAGACAACCAACAATAGACGGGTGTCTACACAAAAATATGTGAAGCTCTAAAGTTCCAACGGATCAGTACTTTGAAAACGTGTAAAAGTTTTCGGGAAAGTCTAGTCCGCTCAATAAAACAATATCCAACAGAGAAAACAGTACAATGTGTGTGTTGACTTTAATACCTTAAGTAACATACTTTACAACAAAAGTAACAGACTTTTATAACAAAAGGGAGTATTGTAATGCATTGATTTTTTTAACCCATTCTTTGTAAAATAAATGTCTCCGCCCAGTGTCAAACATAATATTGATAAGAAAATAACGGCAAAATTTAAGAAAAACAGTACTGAAGACTAACAGAAAATACGATTTGCAGTAAGTATGTTTGTCTTATCAATACAAATAATAAAACTAGTACCTTGGATGGTAATACTATGGCAACAGTTGAGCAAAAATGCATCAAAGAGGACTAGATTTACAAGGAATAGATAAAACATGTCGCAACACTGCATTGTAAATATTTAAAAACTATCATTAGATAATAAATACTTGTCATATAAATATTCGAGTGGGACAACTGTCATGTTTACAACCGTTTTGAACTTTCCTGAAGAGGGCAAATATATTTTATGGTACTTTACTTTTACCAAGGAAGGCGACGTAGTCTTTGAAAGAAATTCGAGTTTGAACTTGATGTAACTAATTCCGCCATTTTTACAATGACTAGTTACGTTTTTTTGGGGGGATATTTGGTCTTTAAAATCACAAATTGAAATAGTAATTCTGAAATCGTTTTAAAAAGAATACCTTTATTGTCTACTGTACCTTTGGTCAGCTTTTTTTAACATTTGTCCATGTGAGAATTTAACTTTTATAACAAAAACAAAATTATGACAACTTTGACTATGTAATCGTACACTAATGTCTTACAATAAACTGAAGAATCATAATACTTTGTGTTTTCCAATTCAAGAGTTAACACAAAGTGAATCCTTCACACTTTTGCATATATAATAAATACCAACCGAATGATGCATCACAATGTCATAAACATGGAATATTTACAATTCAGGAAGTGGACACATTGTTTATCAAATTAAAGTTTATTAATCCCCTAAAGATAGTTAAACCCCTTTATTGTGATAATTCAGCTATATAGACAAATAGACAGGTTTAATATTCATACAACTTACCATGAAAGTATTATATTGACAATACTTCCATGATCTTACAAAGGAAAAATACAAAAACGGGAGGTGCAAGAATATCAAATTAGGGTACCTACATGAGTTCTTGTGTTTTAATTGCATTGTTGCTTTAAGCGTTACAATAACTTAAGTTCCTATGGCTTCACACACATTTTGAACAAACCGCTTGTTTTTTTTTTATTCATAATTAAGTTCTTTAAATATTAAAACATCTTAATCTTTGAAGACTGGACGTGAGTGAGAAAGGCGCTGCTAGCCAGCAGATGCCTATATCTTTGAAAGTTAAGATTCCTACTAAACTGGATAATTACTCTCTCGCTCACCTTTAGGTTTTAAATGAAATATGATTTATTGACCATTAAGGATGTGGACGCAATGTTTAACAAGAGAAAACTTCTTTCTGTGCACCATAATAGCTCTCAAGCCATCAAATTCGATAGGTCTTGAAAAAGTGTGATTCATTAACCGGATAATTTGGCTTACTATTTCTCTTTCTCTTTATCTCTCATTCTCTTGTACCTTTGAGTCTGTTTCTAACTTTCGAATATGTTTGCCTCGGTAAACACTAAAAGAGACATTTTGTCAAGTCAGTTGAATGTACTAGCATACTGCAAGAAGTTGAATAATAAATTTTGTCGAAAACTGTCTTTACTTTAATCGTTCCGACAGTAAAATCTATATTGACTGTCCATAAGAATACATCAACTATGCTTAAGCACTTATTAATGAAGATACAAGTATAAAATGAATAAACTGACAATGCCAAGATAAAGTCTGATATTCAGATTTCTAATTCAAATGTTAATTTTGCGATTAAAAAAATGAAACAAACTTACCGATTCGGTCGGGCTTGTTGCCTCTACCATATAAACCAGATCACTTGTTTATGAAGGATCGTTTATGGATCTGGTAGCTTATCAAGGTTTGCTAGTACTTTACGATCTCACATATCATTTTCAATATGAAAGTTTTATTACTACTTCAAGAAAATGAGATAAAATACGATTTTATTGTTCTTGACCTTATACGCTGTCATTTTAATATTTCGTCTGGGAAAATTCAAGATATGTATTTTCCATACGTGCCATCAATATTTTTTAATCAAATTTGAAAGTTTAATGACTAAAGAATATTTCCTCGCACTTATTATTTTAATCTTTGAATTTTTCAAACAGCTTATTTAAGTTTAATCATAGACTTTTTATATAAGTCTACTTTTAATGAATAAAACTGCCTCGGCACTTTCAGTTACCTTCAAATTAC